TGTACTTAATAACGACCGGATTAAACGGTTTTCGTCTGAATTAAAAAAGGCTATAGGCAACCTGTATAACGATAACGGGGAAAAGTTTTAATTTTATGAAAAACTGACTTTACCGAAAGACAGCTGTCGGTCGAACGGGAAACGTTATATACATATATATATTTATTCGATTGTGTAAGACGGTTTCGACTTGACGGCAAATCTAAAACGAACGAGACCAAAAAGGTTTGAGGTTGGAAGGTAAAAAATAAACACCGGAAATAACTCCCCGGAGGCGACTAAAAATTGATGCGCTCGCTCGACGTTACACAGACGTGCAAAAAGCTTCAAGTGCAAAGAAAACAAGAAGCACAGAATAAAAGCAATTGTTCAGTCAAATCGTTTGGTGCAGACAACTATGAGAAAACTGTTATCGAACAAATTTTTAGCGACAACAACAAAATAACACTATAAATTATATGTTAAGCGCGGTTCTGCTATGAATGCATTAATAAAAAACGACCTGTAGCTTCCTCGACGGTGGCGGCGGTCTGGTAATAGCTTTTCAGGACACGACAACAACTGGCCTGTTTTGATGGCTTGTACAAAAATTCGACTACCGACGTTAAACTGACTGGAAACGGCAAACGTGTAGACGACGGTGGCATCGGTGTAAACAAAACCACCAAAAAAAAAAAAATGCCACGCCGGACTTGACCTACGATAACAACAGACCAGGGTTGCCTTGGGGTGAACACGAAGACTACCGAAAATATTACACGGAGCACACCCTGCACTATTGTTTGTCGACCAGCCGAAGGCGACGGACCGCGATCAAATAAAAATAAGAATCAATATAATATTAACAGGCGCCATCTATCATCGTCGTGGACAACCGGTTGGCAAAATATGCGCACCGTTGTATAGTTGTTACCTGTTACCACCACCCAACAATGCGGCTGTGCGTTGTTCGACTACTTTGTTCAACTTGCAACTCGCCAAAACTACCACCTATCCATCCGGGGAAGCGTAACGTCGACCACCGACCACAAAGAACACTTCCGAAACGACCCACTAAACACAACCAGACAATATTATAAGCCCCCTCTACCACCCGTGTAACTTGGGTACGGAAAACGACTATGAAGGTGCTAAGCGCACTCGACCGGAATGAGAGAAGTTCAGACCCTTTGAAACCCTCAAACTCTCGTATTTTTTTTTCAGGGGGGGAGGGCGGCAAGAGAGGGTCCTTACTTGGATAATACGAAGGTTCGAAGGGTCGCCTACGTTATAAAAGAGACCGAAAATAGTTTTGTAGGATCTGAAAAATAGGTTAGACAGTATTATTCTCGAGCTATGTCGTGTACACTGCACGGCCTTGATAACGACACGATAACATGTCCTATTTGGACAATGACAGTTTGAATTCGTCGAGCTGTGCTATTCTTACTAAATTAAATTTAATTAACCGCTGCGACTTCTCTATAACGAGCGTATTATGTAGTTTGTTGTGTACGTTACATATATTTGACAAGTGACGCCAACCGGCTTCAATGACCGAGTTATAAGAATTCGGTGCGGGACCTCAATGTGGGTTGGTACGATTAATTTGGCTACTTCGCGTCGGTCTAATGACGCGTTAGTAAACACATTTTAATCTTCAGTGTAAACGCATTACGGATTATTAAAAGGGCTCGGCTATAATTTGTGTCTAACTTGTGTTTTACTCAAAAACATTTTGAAAAGTTGGAAAGCAAAGGTCAACGTTTAAACGGTCCCCTAATTAGTCAGACATCCATGAAAAGTGTGAACACACAATATACCAAATTCCAATTTTTATCGAACGAGATCAGACCTACGGCATAATAATATGGATTAATACAATTTTTTGATAGATGTGAAAACATGTAATTCATATTTTTTTTATATATATACTGACAAACCGCGCGTGACTTTTCTACTATTTATGGTAATAATATTACCGGAAAATTCGTGTGGGAGGCCCGGGATAATAATTAATAACTGAAACTCATAGTATACATGTACGTCGCAATAACGTCGGGACACAAGGGATAGTATATTAAATTGTTTTGGAAAAAGCGAACACAGTTGAAGTCTTGAGAATAGTTTAAATAACGAGGGACTGCAAGACTTAAAATTCGGACAGAACAATTTCTCACCCGTCAGAACGTTTCCAATTTGAAAAACATAACATTATGACGTTAAGAATTTCACTATACCCCAAAACCAATTAACGGATTGCCTCTGAGGAATGTGTTTTAATCAAATTCACCGTCTTTTATATAAGTTTGACATTTAAAGAATGGCCACAATTCCGTTTTAATTAATTTTAGTGATAATGCCTACACATTTTGTTGAACGTTCACCATAGAGTATAGCAGCTGCGTGACAATAACTATTTTGAATTACTAACTTGTTTTTTAATTTTCTTGAAGTGTATATATTCACTACTACATAGTTATAGTTAATGTACATTGTACCTTAACCGTTTCCGAGTCAAAACGAATAAGCAAGTCCTTTCTAAGCAGTCAGTCCCGGCGCCACGACGGAGCAAATTATGAATGCGAGGCCCTTTACCTTTTCCCATAAAATTCATAGTGACCCCCTCTAAATGACCAGTGGACCTAAAATGAGACTCCTAATTTTCCACCAATTTTTATATTTCACCGCCATATTAAATATTTTTTAATTGAGTGGGGCGACATTTTTATAGAATTGGACACTCAAAACAAATGTTTTCGTCATAGTTCTAAAATGTTCATATTATTTCAGTAATTTCAAAATTTAAATAAAAAAAAGTTTAGACGAGTATTGGAAAAAAATATTTTTCTTAATTTTGTTTGCTTGCGATTCCATCATACATTTTTAAATGACATGAGCCCCGCTGCCTCGTCCCCCCCCCCCCGTCCAACGACAGCCCTGTAATCAGTTATAGTGACTTGAAACGTCGTTGTTAATTATCCGGCAACGCGATACTTATCGGGAAACGTCAATGTCGTTTTACTTTGAGTGTAAAACTACTAACACCACTGCTTTTCGACGAAAACGGAAAAAGAGGTCAGCAGCGCAAAGAACAGCGTTAGACACCGTTGGATAGTTGGTCGGGAAAAAAGGGCGAAAAGGCAAAGAAAGTCATTTCGCGTAAAAGCCTTTAAGAAATGTCTAGTGATGAATATGTGAGAAGAAACACCCGAGTAAATCCCGTTGCACTCGCCGTTATTGTCCGGGTACATAATAAAATAAGAAATGTCATAATGTCAACAGAAACGGTCACTACCGTAGAAAATATGTTTATGATACTTTTTTTTTTTGCTGGCAGTCTAATAAATTAAGTTTTAAATGCACCATACGCAATGTAAAGAAAGTGTAGTCATAAGCGATAGCTGATAACTAAGGGTAAACCCATCAATATCCGGATTAATATATATATATATATATATATATATATATAGATGCTACTAAGTCTGGAAAAAAAATGAAATATGAATAAAAATAATGCCTAAATAATTTCAAGTATCTACCAATAAAAACCTCTTATCTAGTGTAACGGTTTTTGTACCTCTAGTAGTAACTAACAAGTATAACGTATTCTACACATACACATTTATAAAATTCTTATTACTAAAATCTGAAGGAAAAAAAATAGTAAAACGCTATAATAAATAATATGATTGATAATAATTATCTGTGCGTACAGTTAATAGTTCTATTTCGTTTTTGATTTGATAAATATATATTTTACAAATAAAACTACAAAAAAAAAACAATTATTAACAGCAGGTGGCAAAACATACATCAAGTTAATTAGCTATCAAGTTGTGGCATCAATTACTTAAACATTCATATTATAAAATATAATGTGGTATCCAGTGGTCAAATGCTAAATATTTTATGAAACTTGGCCTGGATAAAAATGAAAAACTGCATTATTCTACTAAACTATAAAAAAAACCGAATAAGTTTTCTTAACCCGACAAATGAATTATATTTTTTTACCCTATAAAAAAAAGGTGGTTATGCGATAAAACCTTTTTTTTTTTAATACACAACATACTGCGTAACAATATTCACAATTATTATCCAATTAACCTAAAAAGAAAAACCTTGCCACTTTTCATCAGTGATATTTTTGTAGTTTTAGTTTTACAATTCCGTATGCAAATAATATTAATGCTAATTACTAAAAACTTTATTTAAACAATTATTCTATATTTTTGGTTTTTATTTAAAAAATAAGATGTGTTATAATTGCCATTATAAGTGAAATAGAAATGGTCCGAATTTTGGGTCATAGTGAATAATACAAGTCGTTTTGAATCGATCCAATTATGCGAAGGAACACCTAATACGAAATTTATCAACACATATTTATTTAGGGAGCGATTTTCTCACTATTCAATTAAAAGAAAAACTGTTTAAAAAAAAAATAATGCTTTACCGAAACATTATATTAAATCAACTTACGCCATACAGTGTCCGAATGTGATTAGAAAATTGCCTAATTAAAACCCCTTAAAAATCAACAGTTTCCAATAGGTAAGTGAAATTAAAATTTGAAACATCACTTAACGACACATTTGACCAAGTAAAAACACCTAAAAAGTGTTTAAACCAATAGAAATAGCGACGAATTATTTAAAATCCAAATATATAGTTTGTAATAAATCTGAGCGCACGGCGGCAGCGCATGAAAACATTATCTCCTCGATCATCGGTTTTAGACATGTTATTATATAATGGTTTTAAATAGAATAGAAGGTCGGATAATATAATATATATTTACTAAGGTCTAACTTGGAAAACATGTATTGAAGTGCAAAATGTACTCAAACCTACTATAAACAGAAATTATTTTTTAAAACCTATTTCGTTAACAATTGTTAAGTGGTTTTTATTGACATTGCTTAGACATGTTGTTATGACATTGTTACAACTCTGTGGCCGTTAAATAATAATAATTTACAACGAAATAAGTGATAATATTTTTCTTTTTAACTTACCGGTAAAAAAATGTGTAGTATTCGACAAAGTTTGTGTATTTTCGGTTTCTGTTTTTTTTCCTAAGTCTTATACCTGTGCAGCTACTGACCGAAGAACGTCCGCTCGAAATGTGTCGAATGATTTCTATAATTAATTTGAGTTGGCTTTTTTTTTCAGACGATGGAAAATCACAATTCTTGCTATAATAACGTTATCGGTTCGGATCAATCGACAAGCGCGCCTACCCGGTCGTCGCCTATACTGCACTTTTATTACAATAATAAAAATAATGATAAATGATAATATTATATTATGTAACGCTGTTGATAAACCGTTGTGTTTACCTTTGATAGTATTGAATTTTATAGTACAAAACGGACAGCTGATGGATGTTTTTATTATTATTATTATTATTATGTGCACACGACTTTATTTCACCGGTTTTCTTTACACACTGACTTGACTTGTGCCACACTGTTCGACTGTCGCCAACACCATCTGTGCGCCATAACCAACGTGTAGTACAACATGTATTTTTTTAATTAACGACAATAATAGTATATAATATACAATAATCGTTGTACTATTTATCATCATCACAATATTTACAACGCACTTGCACACAGCTGCGGCGATACCGCGTGGTCGCGTCCTTCGGTGAAAAAAAAAATAATAAACGAGTTCCTAAAAGTGAACAGCTAACTCTGCGGACTGCGAACCAAGGTTTATCTAATATTCCACCATTAGATTAGTGTTAGTTTGTTCAGAACCGGTAAAATATCTACGGCTGTATAATTTTACCAGCACTCAAATATTTAAAATATCCAAATAATATAAAATATAATACATTGTACCTACGTGTACACGAATATAATACAAGTTGCGACTTGCAACAAATATTTAATACTTATTACACTGTCACTATATTCCATTTGATATTATAGTAGTTATTATTATATTTCATAAATATCGATTGTATTTGACTGTTCATTTTCCAACACACAATTCGATTCGTTTCGTTTTATACCTCGCTCTATATTATATCGTTCTCGGCGAAAACGCTAGACTTGTATTAGGTACATATTATATTGTCAGCAAATCCGTTTAGACCCATTGTTATAGAAATATAATAAAAATAAGAGCAGTATGCAGCTGGTACAACTGTATTAGTGCACATAAAATTGTTGCAAGCTCTAAAAAGTATAGGAATATTGTGAAAATATTATTTTAGTTAAAATATCAAATAAATGTTTTTTTTTATGATATACATAATATATTTACTAAAAATGCTTGTCAATCGTTACTGTTCTAGTCGTTCAGGCCTCTGTCAATTTACTTAGCTGACTATTTTTAATTATTTAAATATTATTACTTTTGTTTTTATGAATCCACGAGAACTATTAATACAAGACCCGTATTTTCATAGTAATATAAAGTCAATAGATCAGAAACTGTTAACTTAAATTGATAAAAAACAATTTTTGAGAAAAGTGCAACTTAGCGGGACGCATGCAAAGACTTTGAATAATATCATTTTAAACGGTTAATTGTTTGAATCTAGTTCAATTTAAATTGCCATTAATTGGAATCGACAATTCTGGAATCAAAGTTACTTGGAAACGATAGATCTTGAATTAATTAACTTGAAATCGATATTTCTTTGAAACCATATTTTTTGACCGATTCTGTTATGGTTTCAAAGTATCACCTAGTACCGCAAAGCAACAGATATCCTAGATTTGCAGGCTACAGTCTAGGAGGTCACTGGTTTCAAAAAAAATGTCGATTTAAGATTTATCGGCTCCAAGTCTATCGATTCCGTAACAATTTCAGAACAAAATAGTTTCCAAAAAAGTCTTTTTAAAAAAATAGTAGTTTCAAAGATTTCCGGCACACCACTTCGTGAAATTTTTATCTAAATGTAAAAACATGATGCTTTTAGGCTTCTTTAAATAATCGAGTAAACAAAAAAATAAATTAGGTAAATAAGTAAACAATCGGGTAAATCAATTAATAAATCGAGTAAACGAGTAAACTAATAGAGTAAAACACGTCAACGTACCTAGTAAATGAGTACATAAGTCCAATAAATGCTTAAATAAATTGGGTAAGTGAGTAAATATTTCTAGTAAATGAGTAAATAAATCGAATAAACAATTAAATAAATCGAGTAAACGAGCCAATACGTCTAGTAAACGAGTAAATGAGTAAATACATCTAGTAAACGGGTGAATGAACAGAGTAAACGAGTAAATAAATCTGGTAAATGAGTAAATAATTTCAGTAAGCGAGTAAATAAAACGAATACATTGAGTGAATCGAGTAAATTATCATGTTAAATTTATAATTAATATATTTCACAAGTCACACAACAACGTTTTTATCGAACTTAACCGTTTCCCTCAAAAGTGGCGTGAATTTTTTCTAGGCACACACATACATAATATATGTATGTAAGTATGACAAATTCTGAAATGTATCGCTTTATTTTTTTTAAACCTATAAAGATTAATTTATTATGAAGACAATATTTTTAAGTATACGCTTCTTATACATATTTTATTTTGTTCTATAAAATTTATCTTTCTATAGGATGTAATTTATTTTTCTTTTGAAATATTACAAATAAATTTCCTCAACATAATATTGAAAAGCCCAAAATTTAACCAACTAACACAATTTTGGGAATAACATAGTAACCGTGTCATACGACAACTCCGTAATGTCATATTTAAAAAAAAAAACAAAGCAAACATTATGGAGGTGTATAATCGAATCAATGCGATCGGTATGGACATTTAATAACGGCTTTTGCTTTGAAGAAAAAAATAAAATAATCATAATAAAAACTACGTTAAGACGAGAGCGGGCCGTAGTTTGAAAGGTCGACCTTTGTCGGTTTCTAGGTGGAAATAAACATGAAAGAGATGAACTGTTACTTTTATCGTAATGCATTTCATCGATGCTTATCTGTGGTCCGCGCTTATACCAAATGTAATGGTGTTTTTTATTTTTTTGAAAACACAATTCAAGTAATTTCCATAATAATATCATGTACATAATATAATAGCCGAAACGCGAAACTCGGATTTGGGTCGAAACGATCTTAACGAATATTACTTTTTCGCAAAACGACCGGCTTTTGATTTTGCCGGCTTTCAATATTTGTTGGCTTTTGTTAAAAATCCATCGCGTTCGCACTTTACAAGCACTTACGTGTAATATACACTTAATGTGATGTTCTGAGCGAATTGCCAAGTTTTATTAACGAGTTGAAAAAAGAAAAAAAATCAGTATACATTTTTTTACACAGCGTTTCGAGTGATTTCGGTTGGATACACTAAACTTCGTTAATATATGTATATATATTTTTTTTTGTCAAAAAGATAATCTGCAAAAGTCGTCGACTGACATTAAAAATATATATTAATACTGTGTGTACCCAATTGGAACGGCCGCACGACCGTTTTAATTACAAGCAATAACGTTTTAATTAAGCTTTATCCTATTAAAGTTCAAAGCAAAAAGGAAATTATAGCTTATAGTCGTTGTTTTAACCATTCATCGGGTGTATTGATTCGTTAACTTGCAATTCAAAACTTTCGGCCTTAAATTCCCAAACCGAACCGTGTGGCGATACTCAACACGCTGGACGCGGGATATAAAAAAGCAGCTTTTTCGAAAAATTGCCCTTAACTTTATCGAGGATATTTATATCTTCGACGACAAAACGTAAATGCTGCTCAAACAGTGAAAATAAATCTAACAGAAAAAAAGAATAAACGTATTAAGTCATAAACAGTAAACACCACTGATGTATATAAAAAAATAACCTTAAACAGGTTATGCAGTATGCTGGCCCTGGTTTAGACAGATAACTAACTAAACAACTTTTTTTTTTGTATGCTTTATTCATAATTTTTTAATTCAGGTGTTTACAATTAGTTCGTGTATTGGTAGTTTTATTTTACTATTGTTTACTTCTGATTAACTGTACCGCCTACGCCTTCCGGTATTCGGATATTAAATAAATAAAACTAAATAATATATTTATAAACTGAAAATTTACAATTGAAATAATTATTATTACGCGTAATGTAATATTGTACTTATATGTTTCGACTATCAAAGTCAAACATTTTATTCAGTCATAAAAAATTAATTTGTATTTTGTTATTATAGGTATACAACAACTGAAACTTGAATATTTTGAATAATTTATTCTTAAAAATCGGTTATTTTTAGTTGCTTAAGTGAATATTTTTTTTTCTAATAATATTTGCTACAAAGAGTGTGTATTTGAAGTGAGACCCTTTTATTTGGAGGCCATAGGCCATAAACACGTGATAAATTTGTAATTTCAAGGTTGGGATCACATAAAAAAAATATTTGAGAAAAATAAGTCTTCGAATTCAATTAGGTATAACTTTATTTCGATTTTACAAAACGCGTCGTTTTGACAAATAAATGATAATAAATACAATAATACATTTTTTTGATTTTACACAACAAAGACATTTATAAAAAAAAACATTTCGATCGAACGGCGGATAAAAAATATATAATTATTGTTTCAAATAACGATACATTAGCATTAACGAATATTATAGTTATTATTTTAATACATATTATTATTCAATGTTTTAATGTGAAACGTGTGCTCTATGTAGAGGTATTATTTTGATTCAACCAATTATGTACAAGGCACAGCAAAACGTTTACGGATCCCTTTGACCAAAACCAATGTACGTTTAGAATCACAACAGGATAGTACTTGTAACAAAGTATCGTTCAGTTCACATACACGATCTCTGGCATAATGTAAGTCATAGATCTGTACATGATGTGTATTGGTAAAATAGTTGAAGTGGCGACAACTAAACAGGGTACAAACGATTTTTTATTTTCTTAAAAAGATATTTCTTAGCTGTTATTTTTAACAAATACATTATATCGCTTGAACCGTTTTTGATCTAACCACATTAATTATTCTGATAGGCAATAACCAATGTGTGATAATTATGGTATATAATTAAGTTCGTTTGGCCGCAATATATGGCAGCCGGTATAAGGGCGTCGTCGTCACACTGCGTGCTCATCCTGGCTCAGGACGACGCAACATTTGCGTCATACCGAACTGGGCGCCACCAGCCGCGGATCTGCAATCGGTGGACAGTCGAGAGCTTCCAGAGCGGCGATGGGCGTCTGCGGGATACAGTAACCGCCGACCGCAGCCTTGAGTCTCCTGCCGGGCGGGTCGGGTTTACGGCCCAGAGTGTGATGGTTGTGGTTGTGGTGTTGATGGCTGTGGTTGTGTTGGTGTTGGTGATAGTAATCGTCCACGGTTTCCTTGATGGCGGTCAGACCGGTGGCGCCCGATCTGCGCTTGGCCGCGGTCACCGAAGTGGCAGCCGTCCACTGCTGTTTGACGCCGCCGCTCCCGCCGTTGTGCCTGGCTACCCCGGCGGCTATGGTGGCGTACCGCTTCGTCGTGGCCGCCGTCGGGGCCGTCGAGCACGTGCACGGCTTGGTAGTGTCCACTTCGTACCCGTTGCCGCTGCTGATCACCGCCATGTGCCTGTAATGCTTTGGGTTTAGCGTGGCGCTACAGTAGGACGTCGGATGCTTGACGATGGCGCCGGGAATGTGCGTGGATGTTGACGACTCGTCGCCCATTTTCGTTGGACATATGTCGGGTGGCGTCTTACCACCGGCGTCCGCGGACGGCTGATCGTCGACAGGTCCGGCGGCCGCCGGTGTCAACGAAGACGCCGTTGCCGACGAGGCCGTCGAACGTTCGGCTCTCAAGAGTTCCGTTTGCGGCGAGTCCCTGTCCACGGTGTCGCACGAATCGAGCGAACAGTCGTCACCTGACGCCGACGTCACCGTCATATTGCGCGGCGGCGATTCCGGCGGTTTCCGGTCGACGGCAATGTACTGCATACGCTCTTCCAGGCGCCGGAAGTATGCGGTTATAGTGAACACGGCCGACGCCTCGGACACCAAAAACGCCAAGCTGCAGGCGACGAACGACCAGCCGTACCGGTAATCGTAATCCGGAACAGTGGTCGCTTGTCCCGCGTACTCACCGTAATTGCTACCGTCACCGCTCGGTGATAAGTACACCGGCGAGAAACTGTCACTGAGAACAGACGCGAACACGAACAGTCCAACAGCCAAAACCAATCCTGTTGGCATACAAAAGAACGAAACAAATTAAATTTAATAATTTTATGTTAAAAACTGCTATTATATATTATTATTAAGATGCCACACCTTATTTATTTTTATGTGTACAAATCAACTACTTATTAACTGTTCTATTTCGTCGATGTAAGTCGTTAAGTTTTGTCATTTTGGATTTTTTTGGAGACAGGAAACGTTTCGATGCGAAACCATAAAGACTCGTTATTATTGTATAGATACTTTTTATCAGACTGATTTTTGTCGATTGGTCTACAAAACAAAATAACCTTGTGATAGTTAATTGTCATGTATTATTAATTGACCTATTGACGGCTAGTAGAGAGACAGTACACGGAACCTAAAAATCTATAGTCGTCACTTGACTAACATATTTAGAGCGAAACTAAGGGTTTTCATAGAAATTTAATTTTTATACAGCCAAAAGTAAATCCATATATTCGCTACCACTTATAAATAGTAGGCGACCACCGACAAAACGTACCGAGTCGGACAAACCAACTCAAAAAAAAAAGGCCAATCATCAAAGTGTAATTATTTGGAAATTTATTTCCGAGGGATCACTATAATATTAATGAAATTCAGCCCCGTTCGTAACATTCAAATGCCAAACGGCAAATCAAGTATAATATGTGTGTACCTGTGCAATAATAATTTGGGCACACTTGTCCTAAGATCAGAAAACAATAGCACGAGTATAACAAAAGTAGTCTGTAAGTAATAACTAAAAACAAATTTAATGTTTTCTGCTATCCAACCGTTCGGCGAAGATACCTCATTTCGGTTGCTCGATACATAAGGCAAGGATTTAATTCGTCTTTAAATTCGAATTGAATTCGTCTCTCCGAGCCGTTCGTTTGTCGACCGAATTAAATGTTTGTTAATTAATTCTACGTTTTGGTATTGTTGTTGTTCGTGTCGGTTCACTTCCGCGAAATTTCGCCTCTCGGGTCCGCTTTTAATAATGAAAGGTTTTTTCGCTCTAAGCTAATTATTGTTACCGGTATATACTTAAAGGTCGCCTCGCGTTTCAATAATAATTGTCAGACAATTTCAAGGTGTTTCAAAAGCGTTTCACCGACAACCGATCCCCGGTGTAATCAAGAAGAGTGTCTATTAAACGACAGAACGTCGCTGCTACATCCCAACAATACAGTTTGCAGAATTATTTCACATAAATAATGTAGTTTTATTATTTTCGCTCGACACGGATTGTACAACGCACCCTAACCGTAATCGTTCCGTTGCCATTCGGGAAGACGTTTAAGTCGTGACTTAATAATGTTTTATTTTTTCCAAACCAAATCTTGGCTTTGTATCATATTATTATACACACATACATTCGACGACCGGCCAGCTTATCCGTTTATTTTCCACGATTACGCCCACCAAAAAAACCATTGTTTGATTTTTTTATGTTTCTTTATTTCTAGATTATTGTTGTTATTATTATCACTGTTATTGCCAGCATTGTTTCCGCCACGGAGCGGTGTACCAACTGCGGGGAAAAAAATATGTTTTTTCCCGGACAACCCTTCGAGCAAAATGACAATGTTTTTATATATATATATATATATTGTGAGTGTGTGTATAACGGACAAATCGTTTGGAAACATCAAAGCCATTCGTGGGATTGCGCCATTGCGGTTGCTGTAAATGGCAAATGCCAATTTACAAGCGAAATAGAAACAATAATAATAATAATAATATGCACAACAACAGTTACCGCGAATAAGGGTTTGGTTCAAAGAAATCTAAAGGGTGATCATTTCAGTGTACAAGCATTGTTAACAAAAAAAAAACCTCGGTAAGTTTACAGTCGTCTTGGCGTAGACAATGTGGTCTACTATATATATATAAAGGTATATATATATATATACCTTCGCCGAAAAGTAATCAGCTACGATAGTAATTAAAATACAATGAAAAACAGTATATTAAACAATTTTAATATTTTATAGCAGTTCGGACAATGCACTGAAAAATAAATCAATTCATATTTTGGCTGGAAATCAAATATTAACGCTTGATATCTCTTAAAAAAATAATTCCTTAGCATTATAAAACGATATTTACACAAGTTTAAACTTAATAATTTTTACTAGATAAGCACAGATAATTTTTGTCCTGCACAACGTGACTGATAAATATATTTTGAGTTGTTGTTTGTTACAAATATATAATATACGTTTCTGTTTAATTTAGAAGCAATTAAAGTGTACTTTATTATTTAGTCTATTCTGTTGCCATTCTTTTAATACTTATGGTATTGTAGTAATATATAATATTATCGCATAGGTATACAATGAAAATATTGTAATTATTGAGATGGCCTTTCGACTGTGTTCAATTTGTTACTATGACAACTTATAAACCTATCGGCTGTGTTCTATGTAGTTTGATCGCTCAGAAGGATTACAAGGGATAATAATTATAATTACATAATATCTGTTACCGAAATAGAACCGAATTGTGTACTTATAATAAGTTCATTTAAAAAACCCTCAATGGTAATTTTAACTATTCTTGAACAAATTGATGTCATGTGAAAAAAAAACAAAAATTGAAATAACAACTTTTACTATTTTATAATACACAAGTATGAAACGGTAAAGTACTTATGTTACATTATTGGTGCTGTTTAATGGATAAAAAACGTTACAGCGACAAAGTTTTAAATAATAAAAAACTTTACCATTGACATAAATACATATAAATATTTTTAACAATGTTTGAAAACTTTTTTTAACAAGTTATTTTGCAATACGTTTTCCAATTTAAAAAAAATCATTGAAAAGGTAAAACAAATTGCACTCGAAATTGACAAAACTTGCAAAGTTAAACAAAATAATAATACCATTATATAATATTATCCAACTCGTAGTATATGACTATGCAAACTGTGGAATACAATAATTTGAAAACGTTATAGTAATATTCTATTACAGAAATTACAATTGCAAATAAAAAAACTCTTACTGTCTCTATAAGTTATATTATCTTATTAGTGCTTGGAAAATAAATGTCGACACAAAGTTAGATAAATAAACTTAATAGCTCCTTCCGATTAAAGTCCTATCTATATATATATATATAAATCTTGAATGAATTGTGTTAATTTTAATGTCGTCTGCTTTTCGTTGGCAGTTTGGCAGTTTTAAGATTAATTTTAATTTATAAAGTTTCCATTCAACGGGTCCGTTGAGATATAAATACCTATACCAAGCTCGCTAATCCACAACAGTTTATCACGGATGACATAAATTTTAATTGAAAAAAGAAAAAAAAATGATACATTTAACTGTTTGAAGTATCATAATATTTTATAATCCAACAACCTTGGTACAATTTGTTTTTCTTATACAGACAATTAATATTGAACTTACAATAAAACGTATCATTTTATGTTTTTTTTTTTTATTATGTTGTTGAAAAAAAACACATTTGTATAAGTAGTAGTGATAAAAATATGGGAACTTGTTTAAATAATTGAAAAATAGACATAATATTATTATCTCGATTACACAAAGTCCAAAAGAGACTGGAAATATATATCCAGTTATAATGGTTAAAAATAAACACCCTATTTACTTATCGTCATTTTGTATAATACTTTGTATTTTTACTAAATGTAAATATCAAATAGTTACATTATTGTTATCTATCATTTAGAAATGTATAATTTTTTATAACGTTTTATTTGTTTTTGAGTGAACTTTAAAGTATCATTTTTATTCATTCGTAAAATACATACCGACAAACTAAATGCGATGCGTTAATGCAAAGAAGGATAGAAAAGGGAATTATACAATGTTGTAATATTTCAATTGATTGTTTATTATCTTGTTGATTATTAGTTCATAGTTGAAATTTATAGTTCGCAGCTATATTGAAATAATCTAATTATTTCCCCAGCAGTTTATGAAGAGCTAAACCAATAAGCGGAAATTCACCCTTTTGGTATTTAAATAATTTTTATGTTTAAATAATCTGAATATTAATTTAATTAAAAAAGTATTTTAATGATAAAAAAAACATTAACATGATATCAGCTATAGAATTTTTAATTAGGATTCATATTGCTGGTAATGACATTTTATTTATTATTAGCTCTAACAAAAATAAAAACCCCTTTCGATAAATATCAAACAATATTTTGTATTATAAAGAGATAACTATTGAAACTTAATTGTCCATATTTTAATATTATAATAATATATAACTCTTATACATAGTATTTTTCAACGTTAACTAATAAATTGGCCGTTTTTTAATTTTAAGTTTATCCAATATCTACTTCACCATTATTATGCACTTGAAAATAAAATGTGTTCTTGTTATGTAATCGACAGTAATAGAAATGATTAGATACAATTAATATATTAATTTCCTATTATAATTAACTAACTTTCAACTAAAACTTGACTTGACATTTTTTTTAGATAACGTTAAACTTGAACGAGTACTTAATTATTTAGCAAATTTTCAAAAGATATATTTTTTTTATCAACTAAGTCGAACTAGTTAAGAACAAAGTCGTTTTGTCCAGGTTTTGCGAACGGTTCAACTCGAGTTCATCGAGTTTAACCGACCGAGAACGTCCGAGATTATCTCAAATGAATTTCCCCTTTTTTTTTCTGGAGTGTCTCCAGTTAAAACGCCGTAGTTTTGTATTCCACAAAAGCTACCGAATCAATACGCATTAATTATGCAAAATATAATTAAAACATAGAATCGAGGCCGGCAAGGCAACCGCCACGACATAATAAATCCCTTGCGGTTTCATTTTGAAAAACCGCTCGTCAAAGAAACGCTTTATTAGATGGATATCAGTTACAGATTCGATTACTCTGTTCCAACGTCAGGGTAAGCCGCCAAGGGCTCTGAAATAACGCCTGTAAATAATTTTGAAAATTGAAACACAATATTATTGTTATTATTATTATTATTACACGGGTCGTCGGGCACATGCGGTTGAATATCC